CACGCAGAATACTAGTGTGATAGTAATGGAGAAGATAGTTCGACTTGTCAACTGAAATTCTAAATTAATTGAATAGGCATAAGTGGATTTTTGACAAGAACAAGAGAGCTATATAAATAGTGTTTATGATATGTCTGTAATATCTATAGTGTGAAGACTTTGTTGTACATACATTTAACTTGTTCCGAATATATATATATATATTATTTTGAAAACAAGTGAAGTGCATGCTGTTCATTTATCGTTAACAAGTCACAGACACTTACTGTAGAAAAATCCTAAGCCCAACAGCAACATAGTATATATTTATGCTATTAAGAAATATAAGTAAAAGTTATTTATTTTGACATATGGTAAAAAGAAGAACTTATATATATATATTTTTTTTTTAAGTCTGACAAACCACTATACTAACCAAAACTAACAGCTTAGAGAAAAACAGAAGTTTTTAAACAATGTAAACATTGTAAACAACTGTAATATTTTATTACTTCCCATAAATTTCTAATTGCAGAAACACATTTATTCCTATTACAGACTTCTAATACTAGTTATCAGGTGAAGAACAAATTATCATTTTGCTAAATTTTATTCCATAACATTTAAAGAATATCTGATTGTTTGTTGCTAAACACAAAACTGCAGAATGAGCACACTGTGCTGAGCACACCACAGGGATCAAATCCCTATCTTTTACATCATAAGCCCTCAACTAATTTCTTAACCAACAGAGAAAGCCAAAGTTCATGGAACATGTGACAGTCTGTGTGCTTAATCATTCTCTTTGAAACTGTACCAACAAAATCATACTTTACGGTGCAGAACAATACAGTAAGATAGGTAAATATGAACTCAAAATACTTTGGGTGTCCTTCCAAAAAGAAAGATATACATACTAAAATACAAAATTATTCTCACTACTTACACATTTTTTTAGCTAATACTTTCAAGAAATTTACATTTAGTGAAAATTTACAAAACATTTTAAACTTAAAAAAAACAAAATTTAAGACTATAAGATAATTAAAATACTTAGCTCACATCTGAAAATATTTGTGAAGTAGTAATGAAAAAAAAACTAACAGAAAGTGTATTCATCATTAGTTTTTTAATTTTACAAATAAACCTGTTTTTGTTAAGACTAAAAATGTAACTTACATATATTTGAATTACTTTTCACAGTGTAAAAAACCTATTTAGTTGTAGTAAACTGTACTTGATAGAAATGATAATGATTTTTCTACATAAAATAAAATGTAAGTTAAAAGTTTCAAATGCTGATGAATTATTATCAGCACAATGTTGTGTAGAAAAGGAAAGTTAATCGCATTCAGGGAGAAATCCTGTTAAATGTTGTTTAGACTGGGACTTGTTAATTCCATTACTTTCTATACTACTAAAACTAACACATTTACAGGATCTGAATGTTATAATTTTCATATACTAAAAATTTATTTCCGATAGATACTTACCTCCTCTCACAGATGATAGCTATTCTCAGTCAGTGCTGCCCTTTGTATGCAAAAATGTTTTTGCATGCCACAAGCATTGAGTTTCCATTATCTCATGATCAACGTGGTTCAACTGTGTCTCATCTCGCTGTAAATCATCATTTGACAACCCTCCACCAACAGGAATGCATCACACCCTCCTGAAGCATGTGACTCCTGTTTGATTCTACAGAACTATCACTTCGAGTTTGGGCAGAAAATGGAAGCACCGGTTTTCAGTGGGGAGGAAGGGTAGGAAGTGTGAGGGAGGTAAGTACTTATTGGAAGTACATTACCTCCTCTCACATATATGGCTAGAATCCCACATTGAACAGGTGGAGGGACCGGTGCAAGAGAATGAAAGAAACACCCTTCTAAAGAGTTTGAAGAGCACCTGAAAAGTGGAGATCCTTGCAGTAGAGGATTCAACATGGGAGATTGCACCACATCTGTACCAGGTATACTCTATGCCCAGCGTGAAAAGAGGTGTTGCAAACATGGGTGGAAAAAGAAAGGAGCACACCCAAAAGGGAGAGAACAATGTTTGTATAGGGATCTGAATCACATGATATTGGAATCTCAATCCCTTGGGAGAAAGTGAGGTGGGTGAAAGTAAAAGGATGTACCCCAAGGTGTAGAGTGGCTAGGACTGGACGTACCATACACAGCATGTCAACTACATCAAAAACTCAGCCACCAGGAAACAACATCGATGAGGGGGGTAGGAAAGAGGATCATACTGTTGGCAACTCAACTATAATAAAAAAACCTAGACCACTGGGAACTAACATCCATGTGGGGAGTAGGAAAGAGGATCATACTGTCTTCACCTCAAGTTCAGCAGACTAGAGGGATACCTCAATGGTTCACCACCCCTGCAGCTTGGAGCTGGAAAGTGGTAAGAACTCCCATACTCCACTGGAAAAAAAGGAAGAAGAAAATGTGGTGGAGAGTTAGGAGGAAGGTCAAAAATGGAGATTGCAAAATGGGTGACCATGAAAATCCTATTTTAAAAAGCCGACCATACCTGATTTATTCAATCTAAGGAATGGCAGGGATGGGCAGCTATCCCCTTCTGCTTTATTCATAGAATATATTGTGAGCAAAAATCTGCTAGTGATCTTGTGGAACACCCCATCTCAACAGTGTGCATATAGTGGCATGGTAGTTATGATTGTGAAGCCATCACGGCCTTACAGTGCAGATTTGGCTAGTATACCTGGACAGGCACCACTCACCACAGAGAGGAATCCTTGTCAAAACGTGGGACAGGCCCATGAAAAGTGATATATGTAGCAAAAGAAAGAAAACTTACCCAGTCACAGTATCACCTGATAGAAAAGAGTATGTCGTGACTGGAAAGATGATCTGCAACGAGGTTGAAAGCACCCTGAACATGACATGCTAGGAGAAGTATGTCAAGTATATGGGCCCAAAAAAAGGGAGGTCAACCACAAAGGGAACTAGAACAGGCATCCCCTTGGTGAGTGATATAAGCCACCACCACTGAATTGTCAAAATATAAAGGGAGCTCAACCACAAAGGGAACTAGAACAAGCATCCTCTTGGTGAGTGATATAAGCCACCACCACTGAATTGTTGAAATATATCATGATTAATCGAGTCCTGACAAAAGGAAGAAAGTGAACCAAAGCACACTGGACTGCCAAAAGTTCCAGGTCCTTAACATGGTAAGATCTGTTGTCAATATACCATTGTCCTCAAGTCTCATGCTGATCAACCTACACTTCCCAACCTTAGAGGTAAGCATTAGGGAAGAGAAGCAAATCCAAGGGGGATGAAGAAGTCTTGATGAGATGGTGGCTTTGTTCAACCACCAACACATATCATCGAAAAGGGAAGGAGGAAAGTTATGAGGGAAATCCAAAGGAACCCTATCAAAATCCCATGGGTCATGCAGCATCTCCTGAAGAGATCGCATATGTGCCAACCTCAGGAGAAAAGTGCTTTCATAGAAGCAACATCCTCCAACATGGTAGAATCTTGCTAGCAGTAAGATAGTTAACAGTAATGGCATGGATAACTGAAAGCTCCATCAAAAGCAGTCAAAGAGGAGAAGGATGGGCCTGATGGAGTTTGGTGTTGACCCCCCCCCCCCTTCATAAGACAAGAACGTTAGGTAGGTAACAGGAAAAACTTTTCCAACTGTAAAATCCAACCACCCAAGCTGCATGGGTAAGAAGCAGATGAAATTTGAGGATGCTTTATTTCACTTAAAAATTTGTCAATTAATAAATGAAAACTTGTCTTGAAGTTGTCTTGAAAAGATACATCCAAAACCACCCTCTTTGGGAGTTTCTGGATTGAACTTACTTTTAATGTTCGACAAATTGTAGTGTAAGGACACCCCTTGGTTCATGAGGGACATGTTAATATAAAAAATATTGAAAAATCTATAACTGCTTATCTGTCCAAAGTCAGCAGATCATATTTAAAATTTGTGGACCCCCAAACTCGAGACCTGACAAAAGTCAACTCATATAAAGATTAATATTCCAACCTATGAAAACTGACACTTCCTCCATCAAGTACTGCCACCTGAAGTCTGTGTAATTGTGCTGGATGTAACTGATATCACTTTTGAAGTGGAAAAATAAACTTTGGTGAAGAACAATAAAGGTAAGTATTCACTTAAAACTGTTAAAGTGAAGTAGGAAAAAAAAACATAGGAAAATATTTCTACTTTGTATGAAACTAAAAAAAAAAAATAGCAGGAAGAAAACACAAGCAAAAAACATCTTGATGATAGCATTGCCAAACAAGAAGTGATAGTTTGATGTAATCAAATAGAGAGAGTCACATGTCTTAGAAGGGTAGAGGGTTGTTGCATGAAGATTTACATGTAAGACACAGTTGAAACATTTTGATAGTAGGGTACATGGGAGATCAAGGCTTGAGGCATGCAAAACAATTTTTGCATATAGATGGTAGCACTGAATGAGAATAGCTATATCTGTGAGAGGAGGTAAAGTACCATATCGGAATAAGTCAATTATGAACTGACAGTAGAATAATAAAATGCTCACTGTAAAGAGGGAGTTAAATCATTTTTAAATGTTAAGAGTGTGTGTAGAAAAATTTCGTTTATCACGTTAACAACATTGTAAAAAGTATTTAAAGTATTCTTATCCTGGGACAGTAAATACTAAGCTGGATGATTATATATTTTTAGCCTTTCCACAAAATTGAAACATTACGGATTTGACATTATTAAGTTGACTATATGATAAATAGATACTTCTTGGCACATTCCTCACCATATTACATGAAAAAATATCCTTATTAGTACTATCATCGTTTTTTCCAGTAGTACCAGCAATTTAAAAAAACAAAACAAAATATATACTTGATTGATAACATTTCTTTATAGAAAAATGTTATTTTAAACAAAGAAGTTTACAAGATCAACGAAATTAGAATTTGAGTTTTTAATTGTGCATATATGACAATTTCCTCCAATGAAAGGGTTAAAAACTTTTTCCTAGAGTGATACAAAAGAACTAGTGTTAATATATCGGGTACCTTCTTAGGTATCATATGCAACAGATTTTTAAATGTAGATAAGTTACCTAATAACAAATAATCATATTACATAATTAACAAAAATAACAAGCCTAAATAAAATTTGAGATTACCACACATTATTAAAAAAAAGAGCCTTTCTTGGTGTCAGTCAAACCCTTTTCATTTATTCAGAAAATTAGTGTACCAATGTTATATATATATATTGCAAACTGTGGTGTTTGTCTCCTGTTTTAAAAGCTGTGCATGCAAGTAAAACACAACATGTCATTATTTTGTCAGCAGGATATTCTACACTATCATTCACATTTCAAAATGTGACATAACTTAAAGAATAAAAATGTAAATTTACTGTATGTTACTGTCTAGCAGCTTTTAGCACGACTGAAATGCTCAGCAATTACTTTTAGTGGTGGACAGTATAAGTAGCTCAGAACTTTGGCTGTGAGTGAAACCAAGAGTGCAGCGCAACCTTTTTAAAGTCCATGAAATAATTTAAATTGATAGATTAACTTAATCTTTTCCTGTCACTGGGGATGGGTACTTTTCCTTGTATTTAGTAATTTGTTCAGAATGAATTGCAAAAATAGTTTGTGTGAGAGATACAAGATCACGTTCTTTTACTTTTTTCGATGATATAATGAAATTAGATTTAGCTGACTGGCGACTTGATTTTTAAAAAAACAGTTGACAACCTGAGAACGAAAAGCTTTTTATTTCATACATAAGAGCTTGTTCCACATGGTTATCTTTTAAGTCAATGCAAGTGTATAAACACTTCATACATGCTTCATTCAAATGCACAGGGATATATGTGTGTGTGGATGGGTGGTACAAGAAGTAACAGCATATAACAATAATCTAACTATCATACTAATGAGACAAACAATACTTTCAATATCAGTAAAATTCATTGTTTTAGTGGTAACTGTAAACTGCTCATTCCTTACAAATATATAAAAGATTATACACATACTTTTTAAACTCAGCATCTGCTAGGAGCTCCTCTACTATGGTTCTCTTGCGTTCTTTTTTTGGAACTCGGGAGTGGTAAAAATCAGCTGGAGACTCAACAATAGTTCCGATCTTCAATAAAAAAGTATGAAACAAAAATAACAAAATCAGCAAGATTATCATATTTTTTTTTTAATGTAAAATTGTGAATTTATAGAGAATCTAACCTATATAATAGCCAGTGTCATGCTTGATTTCTCAAATTAGGAGGAGTCATAAAAGTTAAAATTCACTTACCCAGATAGAATAGTTCGATTACTGTCTGCCCATTATGATTTTTGTGATGTGGGTGCAAGGAGGCCATGAGGGAGGGTGTTGTGAAATCTTATAAGTGTAGTGAGTGTTGGTATAATAAGCCTAAAGATGTAGTGTGGGGTAACCTAGCCTAGAGCCATGTGCATCAAATTTATCAAGAAAGTAACAATATCAATTCAATTATAAATTTATATTGTTTCTGAATTAAGCTATTTTCTGCTATATCACCAACGTTGTTAATAAAAAACAAACCTTTTTAATCAAGAAAGACTCTAAATTAAGAAATCAACAAATATTTTTCCAGTTTTGTTGTCCATACATTTCATTTTATACTTTCAGTACATAGACTAACAACAGTATTAGGTTATACTTTTGTTGCTAAGCAACCTGACATAAAAGCCATTGTTGGAAAGTAGTGTTACCAAAATGCACTGGCTTTTCTGTAAATTATAAGTTGTTAATCTAACTGATTTTTTACCAATAATTATCTTATGAATACAGCACAATTTCATTTCATGAATGATCTTAATTTTGATTGGCTCACAAAGGAACTTACCTACTTTGACTGCCTCAACTACACTTTTCTGCCTCTTTGTTGGTCAAGCTTGATTTTGCAAAATTTATTTATTTCAGCTAGCTATGAAATGTGAGGTTAGGGTATACTATGGGGTGGGGGTGGTAGTACTTGCTCTATCATTTTTGATGGGCTATATGCTAGTAACTATATAACTTCTACCAGCAGGGAAAATTATCATAATAATGACTTATAATACTTGACTTTAGAAATTGTCTATGAGTATTAAGTGTTGGTTTCTTCAACTGTATTATGAATATAAATAAGCATTTTAACCAACTTTTAAAAGTAACAGGATACTAATATTCATAATAAATTAACAAAGGTAAAGCAAAGACAGGAATCAGTCCATGTTTCACCAGATTTAATCTTACATACAGAATGTAAGTAATACATTTGTTTTTCATTCTACACTCTAACCATTTACACACATTTTAAAACTATTAATTTTGTTCTCCTTCCAGTCATTATCATTACTAGTGATAAAATATTATCATTTTCCTTATTTCAATAAAAACAAAGAAAATGTTCATAAAACAAGTCTTGTCCAACAGCATGAAAAATCAAAATTATTGTATTCAAACTTTTTGTTCACATTTAATCATTTCATTCATCTTACATATAGTAAATTGATAAGAACTTTTATAAAAAAAACAAAGAATTCTTAAATGGCTTTTCTTTCCACTACTTGGAAATAGTATTTTATTTCTTTTAGTTTTTAAAATTATTAGTGAATGTGTTAAACGACTAATTGATAACATGATATATAAGGAAATTCCAAGTGTAAAACTTACCTGGAAGTACTTGGGCAAGGTTTTTAGGTCATTCTTCTTGTAGAAACGTTTGGGATCTAAGGCTTTTCTGAACTGAATCACCTGGAGGTCATTCTTAATTTCATCTGTCAACTCAGTGGCAGGAAGATTGTACCACTTAGATCCTTTACTTTTCTTACGCTCTTCCTAAATTAACATACAAGTAGACATATTTTATTAACAAGTTAACATAAGAATGTAAAAAAAAAACAACAAATTTTAGGTTAGTCATATAAAAAACTTTTGTGATAAAGTATTTTATATGTGTGGAAAAATCTGTGGTCATTTTTATGATTTTAAGATGAGAAAATATGTCACTTCTTGGAGACCAATAGAAATTATTTTCCCAGATGTATAAATATTCAATTAAATAAAATTAGCTTGAATTTTGAATAAAAAATCTCTTTCCGAGTAAAACCTACATGAACTGATGTATGGCTTTAGATTCTATTCATGATTTCATTTTAAAACTTTGTTCAAGTAATTTCAATTCAATAGAAATAATTGCATTTTAAAGTATTAATGAAAAATAATTCTTCATATTTTACCTAAAAAGTTGGAACTTTGCATGAAAAAAAAAAGAAATACAAATTAAAATTTTTACAGTTCCGTTATCTGTATTCTCAGGTAAGCACTTTTTTCAATTATTTTACAAAAACCATAAGTATATTTTGTTGTAAGAATTTCTTAAATACAAATAAAATTGATGTACAACAATAAAAAAGTGACATCATACTACATGAACCAAAAACATTCGCATTGACCAGACACACTTTGGCAGCACCAGCTTGCAATCATCAGAAGTTACAGTTTAGTGTGAATCAAAATCTTCACACATCATATCAACCACATCTAGATTATAATAATTAAAAAATATTGCATCAGTGAAGAAGAATATTTTCCATAAGCGATTTAATCCCAATCCCCTCATAAAAATTGATAATTCGATTTTTCCTTTTAAATTATTTATGGATTCACATATATTTCTATGTTTGAAGTTTCTCGGTTGTACAATAATTTTAACAACAGTGTGACCAATCCACTTAATACTATTATCTTTGTGGGGAGTAACACCCAATTTATTCATTTTCCATTTGTTCAGTGATTTTAATGTTCTTTTATTCTTATTTCCAATGACCATCTTTTCAGCCCAACCTGCTACTGCCACAATTGCAAGGTATTTCATAAATCCATTTTTCAAATTTGATACTTTATCTCTTCCTCTACTGAATTTATTCAAAACTTTTAATGCTAATTCCACCCACTCTTCTTTGAAGTACATTGTAAGTCATATTAAAACTTTGGAATGATAAGTTAAACACATATTTTACAGTTTCACTCTATACTTTTCATTTTTAGTTATGTGTGTCTGTGAAAATATAATGTTTTTAAATTCTCCTATTAAAATGGATTTTTGGACAATATACGCGAATGATATTTTACTTTCTTTTAATAATTTAGTATTAATTAAACAATTTCATTAATATTTAAATATTATACATCCAAGTATTTACCTTACATCTGAGATGGAGCATAATAATTT